CTGATTGGTGCGGAGATAGAGTTGACAGAAGAAGTACTTCTGGATACTTATTCAAATTTCTAGAAGGTCCTATTTCTTGGCGTTCCAAGAAGCAACCTGCTGTTGCTATGTCAACTTGTGAAGCTGAATATATTGCAGATGCTCTGACTGCATGTCAAGCTGTGTGAATTCTGAACTTGCTGAAAGATCTGAAGATTGAGGTAAATAAACCTCTGAAGCTGATGATTGATAACAAGTATGCAATCAACCTTGCCAAGAATCTAGTGTTGCATGGGAGAAGCAAGCATATTGAGACCAAATATCATTTTCTGAGGAATCAAGTTCAGAATGAAATAATAGAGGTTGTACACTGTAGCACCCAGAAGCAGCTGGCAGATGTTCTGACAAAGGCTATCAAAACTGATCAATTTCTTGGATTAAGGGATAGAATTGGCGTTCTCAGTTTTGGGTAAATATAAATTAAGGGATAGTGTTAGAATTTATTTAGATTTAATTAGATATTAATTTATATTTATAAATATCTTTTAGATTGTTTATATCTTTGTTAGAAGATATAAATCTTAGATCTTTTTATATCTTTGTAGAATATATATTTTAGATTTAATTTGTGTGTATAAATAGCCTAGTGGAGTAGGTTATTGTAATTCATTGTAAATCCTTATTTTTGAAGCTATCAGTAAATATTCCTTTTGTCTTTTATCTTTCTTGTGCTCCAACATTATTGTCCTTAATGTTTTCGTGTCAGTGTTGAGCTCAGGTCCAATATGCTAGTTTGTATAAAAATTGAGGAGGATCATAAAAAATAGTGTTCCAACCTGAAGAGATAGGGCGAATAAGCATATTATAATTAGAAGTGCATTTTCGGAAATTTCCGGAAATGTATTTCTAAAATGAATTTTATCGTAAAATAAGGCGAATTTCAAAAACGAATAAATTATATGTGTATGAGTGCATATCATAAATATATTTTCAATTTCCGATAAGCATTTTAAAAAATGCATAGGATTTTTCTTTACACTATAAAATAGAAAAAGAAATTCTCTTATTTGAAATCCTCTCCATTGCATTAGTAAGTTGCTCATTCTCCTTTTTTTGACATGCTTGCATTACCTAAATAGAATATAGATATGACAATTTAGGCTTGAACGCAATAGGAATGTTTGTTGTGTTTGTCCTGAACAACATTGAATTGAGTTTTTGAGCACTAGAGCTTAGGATTCACAATTCACATGCTTTGTTCTTTCGTTTTGGTTCTAGTTCACATGTAGTCTTGATTGTACAATCCGAACCCTTAGTTCGAAGATTGCAATCCGGATTATTCTGTTGTCTGATTTTTGGTTTGTCATCTTGTTTCTACTTTCATGTTATGAGATCTTTCTGTTGTGCTTGTTTGGTTATAGAAAAATGTTCGCCACCCAAGAAAGATTTACACATACTAGAGTGTCTCAATAAGCTTTTGTTGTAATGGAGAAAGGTAAGAGGCACAAAATATGTTGCAGGATGGCCTGTAGAGGAGGAACAAGGGAATTAGATATATGAAGTAGTGTGTGATTTTATTTTGTATTTCTTTTTTGAGAAATATTTTGTATTTTTTAACATTATTGTATTATGATTTCTACTTGGATTAATTGACATGATGAAATTTATATATTAGCAATAGTTATTCTATTTTGATTTTATTATTGAATGACAAATATATATATGATTTATTGTGGGATTGATTTATAAATAATTTATAATACACATTTATTATAAATGTCAAATTTCATCTAACTTAATGTCAAAAGATGAAAAACACTATCATGGGGGTGATGAACCACACCCTTGAGTTTGGTGATGAACCACACCCTAAAGTTATTGTTGAGCAGCAATGTGAAAATGAAATTTGGTTGTTTAGGTAGAATGTGTTTGATTAAGTGAAAAGGAGAAGAGAGAAGTTGGTGAGAGACTCTATTTCTCACTTATTTCTCTTTTATTCCTACTCTCTCACCTGTTTCTCTCTTTCATACTCTCTTTCATATCTCTTTCCACAGCCAAACATATCATTAAAGATATCTATGATGATTTCTTAGGGTTATATAAATACATGAAAAATAAGTGAGAAAAATATGTCAATTTTGTGATTAAAAGTAAAACAGAAAGCATTTTCAACATTTTTATTATAGTTTTCAACATTGAGCTATTATTTAATGAATGAAAAACAGGTCTCAAGATAGTCTTGCCTGTCTAAAATATATTGTTCTACTTACTTTAGCACAGCAGAGGGGGAAATATTGGAAAAATTCATGATAACATCAAATTCAAGCAATACATGTTTGAAATGAAACTGAGTTATTAATCAAGATGAAGCCTTGTACTTGACATGAGAAACATAATAATGGCATTAACATTTATGTAACACTCAGTTTATGGGAAAATTAGTCAAGAAAGGAGAAATGCTGCAGCTGACTATGAAGGCTTATAGTATTTTGTGGGTACAAACGGCATTTTCGTGACAACTCCTTCATTCTGTTTACCTCGAATAATGATCTTTGCTTTGGTACCTGCTTTGTGCAATCCAGATTTGACATATCCAATAGCTATGTTCTTCTTGAGACAAGGACTGAATCCACCACTGGTAACTTCACCAATGTTGTTGCCTCCTTCATCTTGAATCTCGCTGTGGCTTCTTGGAGGTGGACCAGAAGAAATGAAACCGACACGCCTTATGGAAGGACCATCTGCGAGCTGTTTCAGGATAACATCGGCGCCTAGAAAACCACCTTCTGCTCTTCTTCTCTTACCTATAGCCCATGTCAGTCCTGCTTCAATAGGTGTAATGTGCTGTTCCAAGTCATTTCCGTATAAGCACAATCCAGCTTCGAGACGTAGACTATCTCTAGCACCAAGTCCTGTCAATCTTATTTTCCCTTCGGATTTTTCCAGCAGTGCCTTGGCAAGTTCCACTCCATGTTCTGAAGGAACTGAGATCTCAAATCCATCTTCACCAGTGTACCTGAAAGTCTCATTAGAGAATGTGTTATTATGTATGCAATGAACAGCCAATTACATCTAACAAGTATCCAAATGCACAATATATCAAGCTGTTATGATGTTTTTGGTTTTCGAGTTGTAAGGTCACATTTTCTTATGTGCATCAGAGTGGGTCAATTCATGAACACCTCTAATTAAAATGATTTAATCAACAAAAGAAAATTACTGTGAAAGGAAAGACAAGATGGTCAAAGTGACACAAGGAGTTTAAGGAAACATGACAGCAACTCTGATGATCTTTGAAGAATAAACTGCTAACTTCGGTAGAATAAAACCACACATTCTAAAATGAAGCATACCCTGTCCGTGTGAGAAAGCACTGCGAGCCATTGATGTCCAACACGCGGAACTCTCCAAAGTACAGCTTGCTCAAATCCTCTTTTGTCAGATGTTGAAGAACAGGAGCAGCAAGAGGACCCTGCTTCCAGAGAAAAGAAGAAAACTTCATTAGTGTTAGTTATGATTAGGTGCGAATCATTAATTTAAAACTCTCTCTCAATTATTTGTCAACTTTAACATGAATACAATCCAATGCGTTTTTGAGGACGTGTAAGACAGACTACCGTACAGGGTCCAAATTTGACATAGTTAAATCGTGGCTAAATAGGGCCTCATAGAATATTTGTCATGGTTAAACCCCATGGTGTCAATCGTGGAATTACAAAAGTATGTTAAAACTCCACTACGCATAACTTCACTTTCTACCAAAGAGCGTAATGCACAACAGTAGCATTTTGTTCAAATTTCACTATGCTTTATCCACTATTTGACAACACTAACTACACCAGAAGATACACAGGGTAGGGTGCAGTGCAGGACACATTAGAGTGTATAGGAATAATTTCTAATGATCAATGTTTTAGTGTCAAGATTCTTCAGAGTGACCCGCGGAAGAAAGAAAACAAACAATGCTATAGATCTTAACAACAAAAATGCAGAAGCAACAGATAGGTATTATATATGAAAGAAACAAAACAAGTAAAAAGTGTGTGATAAATGACCTGCAGAGCAAGTAGAGATCTCTCATCGTGAATGTGCCACGACACATCACCACCTTTAGCCTTGAATGCCTTCATATGCTCCTCAATATGAGCCAAATCTTTATCTCTGCACCCAGCATTGACAACCAAGTAAAGGTGATCATCAGTGACCTTAGTAATTACAGAATCATCGATAGCCCCTCCCTTTTCATTAGTGAAAACAGTCAATGTCCCGGTCCCATTGGCAAGAGCAGCAACATCAGCAATGACAAGCTTCTCAAGGAATGTAACAACATCCTTTCCCTTGAGACTAAGACCGCACATATGCGAAACATCAAAAAGACTACCGTTCTGCCTACAGTTCAAAGTTGAGTCGATGATTGAGTCTTTGTATTGAATAGGCATACTCCAACCAGCAAACGGAACCATCTTTCCGCCATGAGCAACATGGAAGTCATACAAAACTGTCTTCTTCAGCTCAGATTCTGTGGCGAAACATCTTCGTGCAACAGCCTTCTTATCTCCTCCATTGGCAAGACGGCGAGTGATGGATTGGCCAAGTTGCCACAAGCCCCCTCTCATTTTCTAAGCAAAAAATCTAATACTAATCACTTGCAAGATAAAGGAATCATGCCATAACTTCGACAAGTAGCTACTATTTTCATCACAGAGGAAAAAAAACATTCCCAATTCCCAACAACAAAAAATAAACCAAAATCTGAATGTAACCCCATTAATAAAAGATTGGGTAATTCCAGTAATTTGTGATCGCTCTCAAACAATAGAATCAATGATTGAATACAAATGAATACTTATAATATGTAGATCTAAATTATTATATTAAATCACGTAGATCATGAAGAATTTAGTTAGCAAAATATAGAGATGAATATAAAGAAGAAATTAAAAACAGAGTGGTAAAATGCGAGAAATTAAGGAGACAGAGAGCACTGACAGAGATTGGATTGGTTCTGTTCTGTTCTGTTCTCAAACGAAATACACTAGAGAAGAAAAAGGCTCGTTTATGTGTTGGTTTTGGATACAAATACAATTAATATATTTATTTTGTTTATTTAATTTAAAGTTAAATTTAATAATTAAAATAGAAGGAAAAAAAGAGAGAGTTGGTGGATTTGAGATCGAAAACAACTTGACCTCATCTTTAAGTGAGTGCCAGAAATGAAGAGAGCCGATGATAGTCCATCCATAGTGAGTGGTAACAATAACAACATTATCATTACCCGTTCCCCCATTTTTCCTTTTTCTTTTTTTCTTTTTTTCTTTTTTTCCACCAACCTTGTTTTTTTCTTTAACTCAATTATTAAAAAAATCATTGTTCTAAAAACCGATCCAACTCACGTTGAACCGATCGAATTGAAAATTAAATGAATCATCACTCATATCTTATTATTAAACCAGTGAGAAACAATGAATCGACTGATTTAAAAATTTTAAATGTATTTTGTTTCTTCTAACAAAACGATGTCGTTTTGATCTCATTTTTAATTAGACATTATTAAAAATTTATTTGAAATTGTATTTTATACTAATTTGTTGTATGTATGTTAATAATGTTTAGAATTTAAATTTAAAGAATAAATTTGTGAAATTATGATATTTTAAATTTTTGTAGATGTTTTGATTTTTTTAGAGACGGAGTCATTTTGTTTGATAGATTTAATAAAATATAATTTCGTTATAGAGATTTGCTTATTCAACCGAATTATACGGTTTTATCCGATTTAATCATGTGATTTGACCAATAACCCAATAATTTGTTCAATAAATCAGTCATACAATACATTCATCGGTTTAATGATTGGTCTGATTATTAAAGCATTAGAAAAATATTTTTAAAGATCAGTTAAAAGAGAATGTACTAATAGTTTTACATTATCATTCAATAAAAATTCATTATTAAACAATATCATATAATTTATTTAAAAATAACCGTTTGATTTGACACTTAATATAACTGTTCTGGACTGGCTCAGGTTGGCCCAAGAGCAAGAATAGGCCCAATCCAAATGGCTCTACAGGGGGCGCGTCGACCAGAAGCTACGACGGTGCCCGCCACTGCCCGCAGACGCAACGTCCTCGACCACATACAATCCAGCTCGAGTTCAGCTCGAGCACCCTCCTCGTAGGATATATTGTAACCGTTACACCATCACATGAACTCCGAAGAGACCGCGTCCTCGTCCGTCCGTACTTTTCGCAGAGCATCCAGGAAGGAGACCACGTGCGGGTCCCCACTACACACGTAGAACCTGGCAGTTCCTTTATTGGGCCAATCCTGGTCGGCCCAATGAAGGGACCTTGGCCCAGCGCTGGGGGCTATAAATACCCTCTGTTCCAAGAGGGTCAGGTATTCATTCTCTTACCCATATACACACTTTTTACCTGCTCGTACCACCACTCATTTCAGCATCGGAGTGCCTTGCAGGTACCTCCCCCCCCCCCCCATCTCGTTCAAACTTCAGCTCGGAGTCAGTCGTGACAGTCCAAGTCTGATCAGGTAAGATCAGTGGCGCCGTCTGTGGGAAACTAGCTTCTCCGTCTTGCAAAAACTCAAAGACCAAAGCTCAACTCAATTATCACCGTCATGGCTGACCAAGTTCGTGATGAACAAAACGTCCGCGTCGTCGACACCAACAACGGCCTCGCGGATAAAAATGGACACCTTGATAACGCCGGTAACCCCGGCCATAACACCATCCCTGTGTCAACTGCCCCCGGGCCCTCAATCCACCGCGACGGAGTTACCGCTTCATCCTCCTCGGTCCCTCCGCCACTCGAAGAAGACGATGCAGCTCTCACAAACTATCGAGCTGCTCAGTTTCAGGAAGTCCATGTCCCCGCCGGGGCAGATGCCACAACCTGAGCGTTGTTCGCGGCGATCAATCAGACGAATTACCTCATCTTCGCCCAAGGGGAAAGATTGAGGGCACTTGAAGACGGTCGAAGACCCCCGAGGAGGCACCGGAGGCCCCAGACTCCACCTCCTCGAGTAACTGAGGTCCATTTCCCGTCTCCCCTGCGGAAACACTACAGAGATACCTCTCGAAGCCCGTCACCCCGACCATCGGGGAAACGGCCCCCTTTGGAGAGATAACCCATCATCGAAGCCGGAGGACGCGGCCGCGCCCCCGCAAGGCAAGAAAGAAGACACTCCGGAGACGGGCATGGAAGAATCAACCAACGGGCACCGCGCTCGAGAGATGCCCAGCACGACCAGGACTGTCGTGCCCGACAGTGTTACAGGTCCCCGTCCCTGTCCCCGGAGCGAAGCGACGAGGACGACCCCCGCGGTCCCCTGTCGCAGGCCATCATGGAGGCGCCCATTCCCCCGGGCATGGAGAAGCCTTCACATCTGAAGGAATACGACGGAGTCGCGGACCCGGTCGACCACATAGACGGGTTCGAGACTATGCTGCACTATCACAACGTCGGGGGACCCATCAAATGCCGGTTGTTCCCCACGACCCTCAAAAAGGCAGCAATGGACTGGTATAAAGGCCTCGCCCCGGGATCAATCACCTCGTGGCGAAACCTGAAGAACCAATTCATTAGTTCGTTCACAGCGTCTCGGCGACACCCAAAGACCAAGGCGGCTCTCGAGGCCATCATCCAGAGACAGGATGAAACCTTGAGAGAGTTCATCAATCGCTTCAACCGCGAAGCCATACAGGTCCCCTGCGCGGACCACATGAAGAGATATTTGCTGGAGAGGGGGCTCCTCCCCGGCACAGAATTCAGAAAGGTTGTGGGTATCGAGCCACCTAGAACATTCGATGCCCTCCTCGAGAAGGCCCGGGCGTACATGGATTATGAGGAGAGAGAGGCGGCCAACAGAGCCCGAGACCCCAGGACTCGCGGCTCCAACAGCAACCCGCGCCAGGAAGCTGCTCCTCCTCGACGGGCCGGGGAGAAAAGAAAAGAAGACAGACCCCGAGAAGTCTGAGAGCAAAGAGGACCCTCGGGGCGTTTTACCGAGTACACTCCGCTCACAGCTTCCCGCGAGCGCATTTTGGCGGAGTGTGCCAGCACGGACTTCAAGGACGGCGACGTCAAACGCCCCCGACCCGCTCCCGCCAAGCCCGGAGCAGACAAGAACAAGTATTGTCAGTACCATAGGAGCCATGGTCATCTGACTGAAGATTGCGTTCATCTCAAGGACGCCATCGAAACCCTCATCAAGGGAGGAAGGCTCGCACAATACCGGTGAAACGACGCCCCTCATCGTGATGCCCAGGAGACAAGAGAACCGGAGGAAGACGCCCGACCATCTGACGAGTCGGTCCCCGTCTAGACCGCCTTCTCCGTGACCAGACCCAAGGACTTCAACGTCCCCGAACACCTGCAGGAGCCGCTCACAACACACAGCAGGTGGGAATATTTCCCCTCCGCCATGGTCATTAATGGCGGAGGGTTCAACGACCTGACTATCAATTCGGCTAAAAGGAAGCTGGATGAACTGGTTGACGCGGCACCCCCGCAGACAGTGACATTTGAGAGGGTAAAAGGTAGGTCGGAGCCCATCACCTTCTACCTCGAAGAGCTCCCCGGGGGAGCCCCCAACGCAGTCATTCCTCTGCTGATAAGGGCACGAATGGCTAACTTCGATGTGCACCGCATCCTAGTCGACGAAGGGAGTTCCGTCGACGTAATGTACAGCCAATTGTTCCGAACTCTGCAGCTGGACGACTCCCACCTCTCGCCATATGTAGGGTCGGACTTACAGGGCTTCAACGGCTCGACCTCCAAGCCTTGGGGATATGTCGAGCTCATGGTTACCTTCGGCGAAGGCACAGCGACAAGGCAGGTTAAAATACGCTTCCTCGTCATCGACTGCCCGTCTCTCTACAACTGCATTCTAGGGAGACCAACACTGGCAGAACTGACAGCGGTGCCCTCCACCGTCCACCTGAAGATGAAGTTCTACACCAAAAGAGCACGGGTAGCTACTATCCAGGGAGACCTCGCCGCCGCTCGGAGGTGTTTCAACACCGCGTCTAAGGGTCGCGACACTGTCGACGTCGGAACAAGGCCCGCCAAAAGACCGGCGACGACACGACACGACAGGATCTCGACGAGTCAGAACCCTCCAAGGAAGAAACCCAAAAAGCTCCACCAAAGGTCGACTCTATAGCCCTGGACGCTCGTTTCGACCAGGACGAACCTCCCAACGACGAGCAAGTTCCACTCCGACCAATACCGGACGGGGATTTCGAGCTCGTCCCCCTCGGCGCAGACCCGAGCAAAGGAGTAAAGATTGGCAAAGACCTCCCCGACCTGGCAAGGAAGCAGATCAAAGCCTGCTTGCGCGAGAATGCTGACCTGTTCGCCTGGAGCGCCGCGGAGATGCCCGGACTCGACCCTGAGGTCGCCTGTCACCACCTCGCCATAGATCCCGCCGCTAAGGCCATAGTACAACGTAGGCGTAGGCAGTCTCCGGAGAAAACAGAGGCTGCTGAAAAAGTTGTAAAAGACCTCCTAGAGGCGAATTTTATTTCTGAAGCCCGATATTCAACCTGGTTGTCGAACGTTGTACTTGTTAAAAAGAATAATGGAAAATGGAGGATGTGTGTTGACTATACCGATCTCAATCGGGCTTGCCCGAAAGATGCTTTCCCTTTACCGAACATAGACATGCTGGTCGACAACTCGGCCGGCTACAAAACGTTGTCGTTCATGGACGCTTACTCGGGCTACAATCAAATCCCGATGGCCATGAGCGACAAACATTGCACGACTTTCATGACCAGCTCGGGCAATTATTACTACAACGTAATGCCCTTTGGACTAAAAAACGTCGGGGCAACTTACCAACGTATGATGAACAGAGTGTTCCACGAACAGATTGGAGACATGCTCGAAGTCTATATGGACGACATGATCGTCAAATCACGAGCAGATGCTGATCATGCAACACACCTCAAGGCAGTCTTCGCCCAAGCGAGACAATGTAAAATGAGATTCAACCCCGAAAAATGCACGTTCGGAGTCAAGGCGGGGAAATTCCTCGGGTTCTACTTGACAGAACGAGGAATTGAAGCCAATCCCGACAAATGTCGAGCGTTCTCTGACCTCCCGACACCGACGTCGAAGAAATCAATACAAGTCATGAACGGCATGCTCACATCATTGTCCCGCTTCGTCGCGAGGTCCGCCCAGCACGCCCTCCCCTTCTTCAGACTCCTTCGCAAAGAAACAGCCTTCGAATGGACCGAGGAGTGTGAACGGGCACTGCGCCACCTAAAGCAAAGTCTATCTCAACCACCCGTGCTATCTCGACCAGCCGACGGGGAGCCACTATTCCTATACTTGACCGTCTCAAACGAAGCCGTCAGCGGGCTCTCATCCGCGAGACCACCGACGACCATAAACATGTTTACTTCACGAGCAAAGCCCTACAAGGACCCGAAAGCAGGTACCAACAGATAGAAAAGGTAGCTCTAGCCCTCGTCAACGCAGCGAGGAGACTCAGACACTATTTTCTGGCCCACACAGTCATCGTGCAAAACGACCAACCAGTGAGGCAGCTCTTGGGTCGGCCCGACATGGCGGGCAGAATATTGAAATGGTCCTTGGAACTCTCTGAATTCGACATTCAATACGAGAGTAGGAAAGCTCTGTAAGCACAAGCCCTGGCCGACTTCGTCGCGGAAATGACCGCTCACGACCCGCCCGCCGGGAAGGAACACAAATGGACCATCTTCGTCGACGGAGCATCTAGCTCGTCCGGAAGCGGCGCGGGGATCCTCTTGGAGAACGAGGAAGGCGTAGTGATCGAGCACTCGTTAACCCTCTCCTTTCCGACGTCCAATAACCAAGCAGAGTACGAGGCCCTGCTCGCAGGACTGAGGCTAGCCGAGGACCTGGGAGCCCGCGAAATACAAATCTTCACAGACTCACAACTCGTTGCCTCCCAAGTCCAGGGGAGTTACCAAGCCAAGAACGACAACCTCGTCGAATACTTAAGCTTAGTCAAAAAATACATGACAAAGTTTGAGCGAGCAGAAATATCACATGTCCCGCGCGAGCAAAACACAAGGGCAGACATATTGTCCAAACTCGCGAGCACGAGAAAGAAGGGCGGAAACAAATCCTTCATACAAGAATCCCTATCACGCCCGAGCATCGAAAGATCCTCGACACTAGTCGAAGTCCATGCCATAAGAGATGCCTCGTCCTGGATGACCCCGGTGTACAATTTTCTGACGAAAGGCGAACTCCCCTCGAACCAGACAGATGCAACCATCACGAAGCGACGAGCATGCTCCTACGTGGTGCTCGAGCACAAACTATATCGCAGGGGATTCTCCATCCCCCTCCTAAAGTGCATCGACGAATCCACAGTCCCCGAGGTACTGCGGGAGATACACGAAGGGATTAACGCCCAGCACATGGGCGGTAAGTCCCTGGCGAGGAAAGCCCTTCGAGCGGGGTATTATTGGCCGACAATGCAGCAGGACGCCAAGGAACACGTCAAGAAGTGTGACAAGTGCTAGAGGCACGGCGACATGCACCTCGCTCCCCCTCACGAACTGAGCATATTGTCATCTCCGTGGCCGTTTGCATGGTGGAGTATGGATATCCTCGGTCCTTTCGTGCAAGGGACTTACCAAAATAAATTCCTCATCGTAGTCGTGGATTACTTCACGAAATGGATAGAGGTCGAGGCTCTCGCGAAGATCACCTCGCACAACATCCTCCGTTTCTACAAGAGAAACATCCTTGCCATATTTGGAATCCCGAGGGCACTGGTGATCGACAACGACACCCAATTCACCGACCACGGGTTCCAAGACTTCGTCACCAAACTGGGAACAAAACAACACTTCACCTCGGTCGAGCACCCTCAAACCAACGGGCAAGCCAAAGCTGCGAAAAGAGTCATCCTCCGAGGACTCAAATGCCGGCTCGGCGAAGCAAAAAGGAGTTGGGTCGAGGAGTTGCACAGTGTCTTGTGGGCGTACCGCACCACGCCCCACTCGACGACGGGCGAGACCCCCTTCCGACTAACATACGGCACCGAGGCCATCATCCCAGTAGAAATCAGGGAACCCTCCAGGCGGACAGAGAATCCCCTCGACGAAGAAATGAACGACGAGGCCCTCAGGGACGAACTCGACTTAGTCGAGGAAATCCGATCTGGGGCGGCCCTACGCGAGGCCACCCTGAAACAACGAGTGACCCTGCGTCACAACGACAAGGTCATTAAACGCGAGTTCAAAATCGGCAGCCTGGTATTACGAAGAAACCAGAAAGACTCCCGCGAAGGAAAATTGGCCGCGAACTGGGAAGGGCCTTATCGCGTCCACGACACCACAGGTACCGGGGCATATTACCTCGAGCAACTAGACGGAGAACCACTACCACGACCCTGGAACGCTGCTAAACTAAAGCAATACTATAGTTAAAAACCCTTGACACCAAGGACCCTCGTTGTCGACGTCTACGTCCGGTCAACGGGGAGAAACGTCCCGACCACGTAGAAAGGCTAAGGTACAGGCCCAATCTACGCCCAAACGACATAACGCCGTTCAGCAAACAAGCATGAACGACAGTGCCCGACGTGGACACCTCAATCGAGCTCCACCGTCGAAGTACCTATAGGGCAGAACACCCAACTCGCGATGGGCAATTCACGCCACGGGCAAGCGACCCTGATATGGGTCATACGCCCGAGCAAGCGGCTTCGTTTCGCACGCCCGACGAATCTCGAAGTACGTCGGACCATCCAAAGGGTCGAAAAAGAATCTCTCCTCGAGGTTGTAACTTAGGCGAAATTCGCCACAAAATAGAAAGTCGAGCACAAGCATGTCCCGAGGAAAAGACTTAGGCAAATTTGCCAACAAAGTGACAGCCGAGCACGGGCGAGACTCGGGGGCATAACTTAAGCAAATTCTATCATAAAATATGAAAACATAAACACGGGCAAAAAATCAAGGTCGAAACAAGCATTCAGTCAAAAGCTCATAAATAACAGATAGAAATAGACCGACCAACAAGGTCGGCGATGTTCAAGAATTACAAGAACGGGCACGCAGGCCCAAAAAGTAGATATGCACGGGCACGCAGGCCCCCAAAAACAACCATCAATAAAAAGGCGCGCAGGCCCAACTATAATTTCACGGTTAGACTTCCCCGGGGCTACCAGCGTCGACAACAGGAGACTCGGGCGGAGGCACGATCTGGCCGTCGATGATCTGGGACATGAAGCCCACCCCTTCGGTGTTCAGATCGGGATTCAGCAGAGTGAGCTGGCTAACCGCGACTTCAAAGCCATCCGCCAAGGCGCCAACACAGTCCGTCTCAAGGAGTTGAATACAGGCGACCAGTTCCGACCGACTCCGCAAGGGAGCTGTCTCCTCCGACTCATCTTCGGCAGGGAGCATGGCGGCCTTCAGTTCCTCGACCTCTTTGATGAGACGCCCGTTGTCGATCTCCAAGCGTTCCCGGTCCTCACGAAAGTAGTCCCTCTCCTCGGCAACCTTCCCCGAGTTCTCTTTCTCTGCGGCTAGCAGCTCGGCTTGCTCGCGGAACATCTCCTCAGAGCGCTCCAGGGCAGCCTTCAACTTTCGTGAGCTCGCAGTAAGGGCAGCTTTCTCCTGTTCCAGCTCTTTGACGCGATCAGAGTCTGCCCCCTCCTCGGCCAGGACAACGACCATCTCGGCCATCTTGACCATCCCGACCATGTTAGCGGCCAGATGCTTTCTCCGACTTTCCTTACTCAGCCGCCTAATGGTCTCAGCTTTGTCGGCGCTTACAGACAAGGGAAACCCCTTGAAGAAACCTTCCTCTTTAAAACAGGGGGGCAACCCAAAAGACCTCACCGCACCGGACTCCTCGCCAACTTCCGGCTGGCTCTCTACCCGGTTCCTCTTCCTCGGTATCAGATCGACATGCTGCTCGACATCCTGAACGTCGGGGGACCCTCCAGAAGCATCACCCGAGCTAGTTGGCAGGCCCATCCTCGTCGCCTGAGGAGCTCGCACCACTCTCTTGTTGACTTTCTTATCCTGTGTCAACTTCAGAAGCCTCTCCTTTCGCCCAGCCATGTGACCTGCATAAAAGAATCCCGAGTTAGTTACGAGCAAGCAACAAACGAATAAATTCGAACAAGACTATAAGACAAAAAATAACCTAGCAGGTTCGCGGCCTGCCCCTAGGACTGACACTCCACAAGCGCCTTTGTATCTATAGGTCGGGCCTCAAAGGTCGGGTAACCGTCTTCGTCGAGAATATCCTTTCCCTCCCTCGTGGCCCACCGGGCAGGGAAGAAACTGTCGACATATCTGCAGAGGGTACCATAGGTGTCCTCATCTTCGGTGCTCATCCCACCCGCGGGCGTATGGTAGTGCCCGGTGCCAAGCTCGTAGTGGCGTGAGGTCCAATGCAAGGGAAACTTAGCTAAACGTCCCAACACCGGGCGGCCCTCATCGTCCAGAAGAGCCTCCTCGTGATCGTCGGTCACCACAGTTTCTTCCTCGTATACAGACTCTAGAGCAGTTTTGGTGACCGGCCGCACGATGTACCATTTGTCCTTGAACCCCCGGACAGAATCCATATACATCCTGAACAGCCTATTCGATTGTTTCAGGGAAACCCAACTGTGCCTACCTCCCCGAGACTGGCGCTGTAAATGGAAGACTCTGAAGAAAAGAGGTATGGTCGCCCCAATCCTTAAAAAGCGACACGTCAGTTCGAATGCCCGAAGAAAAGCAATCGGGTTGGGGTGAAGCTGCGAGGGGGCCAGCTCCAAATGACTGAAGACCCCAACCTGAAAATCACTAAAGGGGAGCTTCAGGCCAAGGTCCTTGAACGCGATCTCATACATAGGAAACCCGTACTCGGGGAACTCCGAGCAGATCCGCGCGTTAAGAGACGGTTTGGTGACGACAAAATTTTTCTGAAAGTCGGGCTGACTACCACCCTGCTCGACGATAGTATACGCGCTCCGACTACGCCGACTATAAGCAGAAGCAATCCCTCTGGGCTCGGCGCCCACCCACTCTAGCAAAGGATCGTCAATGGTATCGATCAGATTCACATTTTCCTCGACGCTTTGATCTTCCACCTCGTGGCGCCCCGAGGAATACGGTTCATCAGCCATTGTTACCTGCAAAGCACAGGAAACCGGTCAATTGGGGAGCAAATCCATACGCTCGCCATAACTGACGGGAAGAAGGGCACGACAAGTCGAATCACACTCCACACACGATTAAAACGTTGAGGAGTCGAACAAAAGTCTGGTATCACCTCCCCGACGCCAAGACGCCACGACAAGTCGTCCTACATACTGCCTAAATAGGCCAACATCCCGGCCAGTCACGAGTACATCGACCTAGGCTATGGATATGACGGGCACTATCATGAATCCTAAAACTAGAACTATGAGTTTACCGGGAAATATCATGAGTAGGCGCCCAAAACCATGAAGATACCGGGCAACATTGCGAGTCACATGCCTAAACTACGCGTTCACCGAGCACAAACATGCATTCACCGGGCGTAAACATGAATACGTCGGGTAGGAATACGAATGTACCGGGGCTAAGTCCAGACGCAGATTTTCTAACATACAAATAATAGAAAAAATCATCTACCACAGAGAAAAAACAGGAGGGGTGAGACGCTTACTTGAAATCAGGAAAGAGGTACGGCGATGGAGAAGGAAATCGACGGCGGAAAGCACGGCGGTCCTATGAAAATCTGGAAAAACAGCAGCAGCAAAGGCAGAGGAAGGAGGAGAAGCGCGAAGAGGAAAAACATATTATGGAACCCAATGATCCTATTTATAGTGATGACATGGAATACGAAACGTCACCCCGGGGAACCACGAACTTCCCCTCCTCGACGCATAGCTCCCCTAGGCAATGATGGCTCTATCTCCAATAGGGTGGCGTCACGGTTCCCAAGGGTTGCCTCGTATACTCAACGAACACAGCCCGTCGAGGGTCCCCCGAGCACTCCTCGAAAGGAATTATCTCACGAACGCGACACAGGGGAAGCTCCCCAAGCAAACACGGGGAACCAAATCTCCTGGCCGAGCATGAGGCCCCGTGACAAAGGCGAGCTGAGATCAAGTCATAACTCCTGCTCCAGGAGTCACAACTTGGGGGGCTCCTGTTCTGGACTGGGCCCAGATTGGCCCAAGAGCAAGAATAGACCTAATCCAAACGGCTCTACAGGGGGCGCGTCGACCAGAAGCTACGACCGTGCCCGCCACTGCCCGCGGACGCAACGTCCTCGACCACATACAATTCAGCTCGAGTTCAGCTCGAGCACCCTCCTCGTAGGGCATATTGTAACCGTTACACCATCACCTGAACTCCGAAGAGACCGCGTCCTCGTCCGTCCGTACTTTTCGCAGAGCATCCAGGAAGGAGACCACGTGCGGGTCCCCACTACGCACGTAGAACCTGGCAGTTCCTTTATTGGGCCAATCCTGGTCGGCCCAATGAAGGGACCTTGGCCCAGCGCTGGGGGCTATAAATACCCTCTGTTCCAAGAGGGGTCAGGTATTCATTCTCTTACCCATATGCACACCTTTTACCTGCTCGTACCACCACTCATTTCAGCATCGGAGTGCCTTGCAGGTACTCCCCCCCCCCCCCCCCCCCCCGAGCACTCCTCGAAAGGAATTATCTCACGAACGCGACACAGGGGAAGCTCCCCAAGCAAACACGGGGAACCAAATCTCCTGGCCGAGCATGAGGCCCCGTGACAAAGGCGAGCTGAGATCAAGTCATAACTCCTGCTCCAGAAGTCACAACTTGGGGGGCTCCTGTTCTGGACTGGGCCCAGATTGGCCCAAGAGCAAGAATAGACCTAATCCAAACGGCTCTACAGGGGGCGCGTCGACCAGAAGCTACGACCGTGCCCGCCACTGCCCGCGGACGCAGTGTCCTCGACCACATACAATTCAGCTCGAGTTCAGCTCGAGCACCCTCCTCGTAGGGCATATTGTAACCGTTACACCATCACCTGAACTCCGAAGAGACCGCGTCCTCGTCCGTCCGTACTTTTCGCAGAGCATCCAGGAAGGAGACCACGTGCGGGTCCCCACTACGCACGTAGAACCTGGCAGTTCCTTTATTGGGCCAATCCTGGTCGGCCCAATGAAGGGACCTTGGCCCAGCGCTGGGGGCTATAAATACCCTATGTTCCAAGAGGGGTCAGGTATTCATTCTCTTACCCATATACACACCTTTTACCTGCTCGTACCACCACTCATTTCAGCATCGGAGTGCCTTGCAGGTACTCCCCCCCCCCCCCCCCGAGCACTCCTCGAAAGGAATTATCTCACGAACGCGACACAGGGGAAGCTCCCCAAGCAAACACGGGGAACCAAATCTCCTGGCCGAGCATGAGGCCCCGTGACAAAGGCGAGCTGAGATCAAGTCATAACTCCTGCTCCAGAAGTCACAACTTGGGGGGCTCCTGTTCTGGACTGGGCCCAGATTGGCCCAAGAGCAAGAATAGACCTAATCCAAACGGCTCTACAGGGGGCGCGTCGACCAGAAGCTACGACCGTGCCCGCCACTGCCCGCGGACGCAACGTCCTCGACCACATACAATTCAGCTCGAGTTCAGCTCGAGCACCCTCCTCGTAGGGCATATTGTAACCGTTACACCATCACCTGAACTCCGAAGAGACCGCGTCCTCGTCCGTCCGTACTTTTCGCAGAGCATCCAGGAAGGAGACCACGTGCGGGTCCCCACTACGCACGTAGAACCTGGCAGTTCCTTTATTGGGCCAATCCTGGTCGGCCCAATGAAGGGACCTTGGCCCAGCGCTGGGGGCTATAAATACCCTATGTTCCAAGAGGGGTCAGGTATTCATTCTCTTACCCATATACACACCTTTTACCTGCTCGTACCACCACTCATTTCAGCATCGGAGTGCCTTGCAGGTACTCCCCCCCCCCCCCCCCCTCTCGTTCAAACTTCAGCTCGAAGTCAGTCGTGACGGTCCAAGTCTGATCAGGTAAGATCAGTTGATAATGTAAATTACTTTTACAATGTCAATCAATGACAATCATATATCCCACTAAAAAATTTTAAATTTTAAATTACTTATATAATTTAACATTTTAAAATATTTGAATTAAATATCTGTATAATACTTCTTTACTGGGCATTACCATTAAACTCTAAAAATAATGCTTTTAAAGATTTTTTTACATACATTAATTATTTTATAAATTTAAAAGAATATGTGAGGATTATATTGTAAATATATGTGTGAGACCGTGAGATTCGCTAAGTTAACGAAAATGTAAGATAAAATATTTTAAGAATTTGAATGAATAAATATATGATATAATAAATTTATTATGTTTCTGATACATAATGAAAAGACAATTGATATGCATAGTAATGATTTTTATATTGTTAATTAATGATAGTCGTTAAATTTTTATAAAATACTTAATTGTGTAAAATATATTATATTTAAAAATTCATAACAATCTCTAATAAAAAATAATATCATTATTTTATTCATTCATATGATGATAATTAATATTTAAAAAATAAATAAAAAACTATTGAACTGACTATATACATAATTTCAATTTTTAAAACAAATTAAGAATAAATAAATAATTTTATTACATATATGTTACATAAATAAAGATAAGATGTATATTATGTTACTCGAAATTTAAATTCAGCATTGTAGTTGTATTTACATTTCATTTAAGTTTGTATTTGAGTTTAATTTGAATTTGATTGTTAGTATATAAATTTATAGTTTTGACATTTGTAACATAATTCTAATTTGAGAAATTGAGTTTGAAAATTAGTTACAAAATTTTGTCTCTCATTTTCTCTATATTCTTTCATCTTCATCTTCTTCAATTCTTGTGCATCAATGGAGTTGTGAACTCCAATAAATTGATATCAAGAGTTTCGATTCTAATCATAAGGAAACAAAAGTGTGTGTGAGATGTGTGATTGGTTGTGTTCCTCAAATTCACACTGAATTAATGTTCGAAATCGAAAAAGAATCACATTTATTGATTCTTGGAGTTTGGGAAACACGATTGTTTGTGAATTTGAGTGATTTGCACAAGAACGAAGAAGAATGGCGATAACGGTAGCTTTGAACACCAGCAGTATAGCAGATAAAATGCATGAAAACATAAGCACAGACAAACATGTACAAAATGAACAAGTCATAGAGCATACAAATAAACACCCAACGAAAATAAAACAAGAGCTAAGAGCGACTCCGAGATGGACCAGCATTTGATCGACTTGTCCCCAGTGAAGTCGCCAGCTGAAACAACCGGCTGAACAAATCATCGAGATAAAATCAATGAAGTCGTCATCGAACATTTTTTACCATACAGGAAGGGAAAGGTAAACATCGAGTAAACCTGAAAGGGTGAAATCACGATCAAACGACCGAGAGATCGGGTAAGGGAGTCTGTTATGCGAGGGGAAGGTATTAGCACTCCATACGCCTGTAGTACTCTACGGTATCCACTCTTGTTGTTCTAATCAAATGGTGTGTTCAAATATAAGCTTATGAGCTAAAAGAAAAATGCAAAGAGGGAATGCATGCAAAAGAAGAAAACACGGGGAAAAGAAGGAAATATTTACAAAGCTCGCTCGGCTGAGCCCCGCGACCGGATGCCTACGTATCCCTTTTAAGGAATCAGAGCGTTGTAGTTCGGCTCACACGTTTTGGTTTGTTTGTGTTTTTTAATGAATAATATTAATTTCGCCTTCTTCCGCAACTCGACCTTTAGAGATTCACGCGTCAGCACTGAAGTGAATTAACATGTTCTTTTGAAAAGTTGAAAGTTTTGATGCAAAGCCCGAAGGCTAAAAAAAATATTTGAGTTGATTGGTGTTTTTTACCTTGAAAAAAGATTTGAAAGTTGTTAGATATTTTATGCATTTGTCGAGAAAAAGGTTTTAGTTTTAAGGATGCAAAAGAAAGAAAAAAAACATCTAAGGGAGACTAACCTATCTCTAATTTCTATTGTTATCATACAATGATTGATCCTAAGGTCGAAGATGAAAAGGGGAAATCTCTACCTACGTTAGCATGCATGGATACCTATCCTAATGTCTATCTTGAAAGCTAACCTAATTGAGTGATGCTAAGGGAACATACAATGGTTCAAAGTCTAAGGGAACATGGCATATACAAGGATGAAAAGCAAACAAGCAATCAACAAACTCAAGAGAGCATACAAGGGAAATCCCTACCGAAGTTAACATACCTAAAACCTAAGGGCAGAGATAATTATCCTATAGGGAACATGCAAAGATCAAAATCGTTATCTTATTCTAATTGAGTGACATCATCGATAATTAACAAAGGAAAACAATAAAGTCCTAAGGGAGCATGCAAAGATCGAAGTCGTTTTCTCAATTCTAATTGAGTGACATCATTGATCGTCAACAAAGGAAAATAAAAATCCTAAGAGGAGCATGCAAAGATCGAATTTGTTTTTCAATTCTAATTGAGTGACATCATTGATCGTCAACCCATGAAAACCAACACAAACACAATTAGAAAATAATGACACATAAGCAGAATTGCCCTAAACGGTTCTTTAAATAAACCAGAGGAGTTCCTGACATGATCAGCAACAGAGACCCCTGTCATACATCTCTATCCTACTTCTCATGGCAATGAAAGCAATAAAGAATGTGGTAAAGGCGCGAAAGGTAAAAGCAACAGTAGCTACCAATCGAACACAAGTTTGCTAATAAGCAGACGAAAGCAATGGAAAAGCAAGGAATACGTCGAGCAAGCTTCACCAAGAAACAAACAAAGTTAGAAGCGATATCCAACTAAGATGAACACAAACGCGTGCCATGAATGCACTGCATAAGCGAAATTTCATGCACAAGATATCACAAAGCATCATACATATCCAGAAAACATGTAATACAATGTGAAATAATATGAATTTCTCATGAAGATGAGAAATAAGGCGTGTCGCATCGGAAGTGAGCATAACCCACATGTTTTGATCACGTAATAATTGTTATGTTACATGATCGAAAGTGTCACAACGTACCATGCACAATGAACAAACGCGTCAAAAATGACAAGGCAAACGGTATAGACAGTATGAAAATCAATCTAAATCAATCTGATAATCAACAAGTGAAATGCAACAAGTAAGCATGTATCAAATGACAATCATAGTATTAAAATTCTGCACTAGTAAGTGAAAAAAAATTGCACTATTGATGTACCAAAAACTCTGCATTAACGATATAACTCACGTTTTCTACAAAATAGGCGTCCAAAAAAATATGCTCGGAATGAAAAGATATCTCATGGTAACATATAAACGTGCCCAGGAATCCAAGTCTACAATCAGTTTTGTCAAAAACGCAGTGGAAGCATGACTTTTGTGCATTGTCATTTTGAAATGCGGTAAAAAAAGTGCTCAGAATCGAACGAAACCTACGTGGTAGCTTGCAAACGGGCCAACGGTTTCAGAAAAATAGGTCCCGTAATTTAATTCCAAGCGTAGGTGCTTCGTTTAGACCATTTTACAATGTAGGACAGAATTGCAGTAAAGTGGTCTAAACGGTCGAAATTTTGATTCAAAAGCGCGAAAATCAGTTTTAAACGGTATATAAACATGTGACACGCCGTATTCCGAGCATTACCGATCAAGTTTCGAATGAGTTTTAGTTCAAAATTTCTCAAAAAAGAGTGAAAATACACAAATTGCAAATATTGAGTTAATTTTCAAACTTGTGCATTTTTGCATTGAAAGTGTTTTTTTTTGGAGCACATAATCATGAAAGTTAACTTAACATAAGTCTTATAATGGTATTCCACAAATGATCACATAATTAACTCAAGTTTGGAAAATCCGATTTATGGAGTAAAACAAGTTTTTCATCCGGATTGCGAATTCCAAACTCATGCCAATTAGTAATCAAGAGCAAAGTCTTTTTTAGTTTTCAACAATTTAGCAAAGTGTCACAAAGTATGGAAGATAGTCATGTTATGTGAATTCACGAAGCAACCATGTGCAAAAGTATAGATTTAAAGAGAGCTCGACGCATGTAAATCCAATAAGAATTGATATTAAAGCACCTTCTTATGTTAATTCAAGCATTGAACATAACCTCTAATGTCACCAAAAAATCTCAACAAGTATTAGAATATGCATGTTATGTTATGCAACAAACTCAAACAAAGTTTATGTTACAAGTTATGGAGTTAAATTAAACTCATGGAATTTCAACATTAAGCTTCACATGTTCAAGAGACAAGATTATGTCAAGTTCACATTACAAATTCAATGCAACCTCTCATTGAATTCAATTAGCCATCATTTCACCATCTCTCTACATTTCTAGCCTATGCCACATCTCTTCATCATCACTATGTCAACACAACACCACTTCTATAACCTCAATACTATGCTTGAATAAAAAATTAACACTAAACATATTCAAAAACACCTAGCGTGCACTTAAATTCTACATCAGAAATCCAAAACACAACTCTCTAATTTATGTTCAATTCAAGAACTGTGATCAAAACATAAACTCTATTCAATTCAATTCCAATCAATTTACCAAGTTCAATTAACAATTCAACAATTAAGCTTCAATTATAAGAATCAATGGAGATTATAAGAAATAACCTCTTGAAGACACTTGGAGATTGGAGAAGATGAAGAGGAGGACTGATCGGAGAAGCTAACACGGAGGCCGGCAATGATCGCAAGATCATAATCAGAGAAGGGAGCAAGTCGCTCTCGACGACGAACGGTGACAGAGGGGTGCGTCGCGGTTTGGCAGCCTGAGGCATAGAAGTAGATGGTTGGTTCGGCGGTCGGTGATGGAGGAAGAGAGGACCGGTTCGCGGAGCTTGAGGGAGAAGATAGGGTGAGTTGTCGCGTGAGCAAGGGAGAAGAGAGAGTTTGAGCTTGTTTGTTATTTTGTTGTTGTTGTCTTGTTGTTATGTGAGATTGCGAGAGAATTGAGAGAAATTAGAGAATGAATTGAGAGAATAAGAATGAGAGGGAAATGGAAAACATGAGAAATGAGAGTGTGTTATGAAACTTTGAAATTCAAATATATATATATCTTGGCTTCAAAGTGATGTTTGGTTAATGGGCTTCAAATAACCATAAATAATAGTGTATATTTTAATTCATCAGTATCTGACACGTTCAAATCAAATTTGTAGGGGGTTCGGTGCAAAATTCAAAGTTGGGGCGTGAAACAAAAACGTAGTTGGCGTCAATAGAGACCTCGTGTCAAAATATAAGCTTAATCCGATGAAAGACGAGTAAAATATGAATTTTTGAAATTTGAGACATCAATATAAAATCCTTCAGTACCAGTTTTCGCGTTAGTGTCGGACACAGACACCTTTTCAATAAAAAACTGGTACTTCTCAGAGCATAATCTAGATTCAACTTTAGAAGAAAAGTTGTAGATATTTGAGTCAGTGACCTCTTGTAAAAAGATGAGTCTGATCCGATAAAAATTGACTGAGTTATGAATTTTCTCGTGAGACGACAATTAAATTCGAATTTCCTTTTTCGGTTCAACAACTTCGTTTTTGCGAAATAAGCCAAAAACGGAGGTCTCTGAAGTACTGTTCGAACTCTGGCTTTCCTGTGAACTTGTAGCTTGCAACATTTTTGACTTTATACCTAAAGAATCGTCTCGATACAATAAAAATCGAAGGAGTTATGAATTTTACGATATCGAGAAACGGTGAATAAAAATTTTGGTTCAGCATAATTATTTCTCTGGTAATCCATAATTCCGAGGACCTTCCTCAAGGAATCGACTTTCGGTATGAAAATACAAAATGAAGAAGACATCAAGACCGATTTTTACCAAAATAAACCTCTCCAAAATGGCATTTCAGTCAGAAGTTATGAATTTTCAAATGTCCGCACAACTACAGTTCAACACAGTATTTTCACTGTTTTTTTACTGTATCACTTCCAGGAGAATTGCATATTCAGAAGCCTTCCTCAAAGAATTAGCTTTTGGTCCGAACCCGAGAGTTGGAGAAGACATTAAGATAGTTTTAACGTCTCCAGAGTCGCCCCAAAGCAGTATTCCAATCAGAAGATATGAATTTTGATTACCCGCACGACGACGGACCAACAAATAAATTCAGTATATTGTGTTCAAAGAATTAAAATTTCAGGAGATTTTCTTCACACAATTAACTTTTGATCTGAACATGAGAAATGATAATAGAATCAATACAGTCTTAATGCTTGAGGAATCCACTGAAAATACCAAATTGGGTGAAAGTTATGAATTTCTAAACACTCAGTGAACAGCTAACCAATCATTAAATCTGAATACTGCTTCAAAAAAAAACAAATTCTTTGGAGACTTTCTGCATATAATTGGCTTTTGGCCTGAACAGATGAAATAAAGAAAATACCGAGACGGTTCCAATGCTTGAGGAATCAGCTTGAAACAGTACTTTAATGGGAAGTTGCGAATTTCTAAGCTCAAACCAGCAGAAACGCTATTTCTAGTTCTCACTGTCTCAAATTCATCGAAACACTCAATTCTTCCACAATTCAGAATGCGTTGAAATACATGAGATCTTTGATATGCTGATAAAATACCTTGATCCCATGAGTATAGATCCAATGACATGTATGCATGCATATGCTAACAAAGTAAAAGCCAATTAGAGTTAAAAATAAAGAGGGAAAATTTTAGGGTACAACAGCTGCCCCTATTCAATCTTCTTTAACCAGATGGTGAGATTGACTGATGCCTTTCGAACAATCAAGGTGGAAGCGGATTGAATGCTTAATAGAACCGTAAAATTTGCACTCTGAAACCAGACGGGTTTTATTGTGATTTTGGTTTTTTCTGTATTTTCTATTATCATGAGATGTATGTCAGACCGAGGGAAGACATGCGAAAGTAAAGAGACCCACCGGAGGAGACTCTTAACAAATGATACCAGCCGAAGGTGGATTTAAAGGGGAAAGAACACCGATTAAGGGCGAACTTACAAAGAAAAGAGACCATCCGAAGGGGACTCCTAACAACCGATACCAACCGAAGGTGGATTTAAGGGGTGTCAGCCGAAGGTGGACTTCAAGACAAAAAAAAACAGCCGAAAGGGAATCTTTAACAAGGAATATTATGCTGAAGGTAGATTCCTGAGGAAAGAACCCTGATATAAGGAAAACTTACAATGAAAAGAGACCATCCGAAGAGGATTCTTAAAAAAAAGTACCAACGAAGGTGGATTTAGAAGGTGCTAGCCGAAGGTAGACTTCAAGATAAAGAAACCAGCTGAAGGGGAGTCTTCATCAAGGAATACTATACCCAAGGTAGATTCCTGGAGAAAGAACACTGATTAAAGGCGAACTTACAATTAAAAGAGACCAGCCGAGGGGGACTCTTAACAAAAGGTACCAACCGAAGGTGGATTTAGGGATAAAGAAACCATCCAAAGGGGAATCTTTATCAAGGAATACTAGCCGAAGGTAGACTCTTAAGAAAAGAACGCCAATCAAAGGGGAACTCACAGGGAATAATGATATGCATGTATGGTCAAAGTTAGACACACAAGCAAAATTGGGCATGAAGAAACAAATGTTCGGAGTTGGTAGCGAACACAAGAAAGAGACTAACCAAAGAAATCCCTAACAAGAAAGGATACATTCGTCTAACCAAGGATTCTAGGTGATTGAACTTTGAAGAGACACTGAAGGACTCTTAACAGAGAAGGTTAGCTAAGCTAACAGAAGGAGAATCTAACTAGCGTGGATACCAAAGGCAAGGAACCGAGTAATAAGGACCTTCAGAGAGCACCGATCAAAGATGAACTCTACAAGAGAAAGACACCAGCCGAGGGGGGACTCTAACAGGGATTTCCAAAACACGTTGGGCTTTTACTAGGTCGCAAATGCGTAAGAACCACAATATCCCTCAGACCAAAAGCGGGGTGTAATTCGTCAAGAGTGGATATTATCTGAATTACCACACACCAAGCATGGATACTCAAATACTCGAGAAATAAGAAAGGTTATACACTGACTCTTAGTCGCACTCAGAAGGCAAGGCAAACACAGGTAAAAGTAACCAAGGGCTTGCAAGGGTAATGGAAAACCGTGACTCACTGCAGAAATGGAAACACCAATGACTCGACTAGTGGTAAATCAAAATAGACTTTTCTAGGGAAACAAAACAGGATCACCCTAAGCTTGTTGTGGAGATAATTCAAATCTGAGTGCATAACAATTTGGTTACTGCAAGTGAACATAATTGGCTTATACCTTAATACATGTTTGAATTTTTTTATATTGTAATGCTCTATACAATGGAAATACTACGCGGTTTGGTAGATGCAATATAATGATGCATGTTTAGCAATACACTGGGGAAAGCACGTCAACAATCAGCTGCTGAGAAGACCAGGAACTTCCGAATGATTATCTTTACACATCTGAACTTCTGTAGAGAAAAATCCCTTTGAACTTCAATAAGGAAATGAGATTCTGAACCACCGACCTCTGAAGATTGATATCACTGGGGAAGTAACTTCCTGAGGAAAATACTGCAAAAAAATAAATTGCAGTTCAGAGAAAATTTTAAACTCTGATCCAACTCTTAACTTCATGGGGAACATATCCAACATCTCTTTTCAGGGATAAAGGGAACCTTGCTGGGAACTGGGACCTTATGATGTAAGTCCTCAATGAAAGTGATTTCGACTGGGGAATCATAGAAATTCTTAAATAAAAGAATTCTACCCATACCACATTAGGGATACTACTGCTGGGGGATAACAATCTTCACTTGGGAAAGAGGAGGGCATCTTTGAACCATAAGCTTGAAGTTCAGAACTCCACTGAGGAAATATTTCAGAAATACTCTATCACTGGGGATAAAAGATCCCTAAACGTCATTCGTCTATGCACACCGCTCCAGAAAAACAGGAGACTTGCTCCAGTGGGACATAATAATCATACTGATCAAACATCTCTTCAAGAAAACCTGACATGGGGACGAAGAACGACAACCTCACTGGGGAGATAAATACCAACCACGGAGACACAAGGTATCAAATTCAAGGGGATATAACAAAGGTATCCAGTCCAATGAAATGATCCTTCCCAGATTCTTAGAAAAGAGTAGACTATGCTGAAGAAGAAGATTGTACAGAATCCTGCTGAAATGCACTTCTTTGGAGATCAGCCCTTTGGAAGGGACAGTCTCTTAAACAAACTCTTATCAAGAGCCGACATCAATGGGGATTACGCAGGGGTATTCTTTCACTGGAGATAAGGGATTCTGTTTGGGTAAGAGTACGTCTTCACTGGGGATACAGGATTTCGTTCTGATAAAAAATCCCTTCCAATAGGAAACTCATGTTGGTTATAACTAGGCCTTTATTTGCCCATTTAATGGTACCCTTCTTGTCACAAAAGACCAATTGTACATGCAACAAAGGAAATTACAACAATATGCCCCATGTGTGGAATGGAAACCTCTATTGAGGAATAAACAGTTTGAACTATCGACCACTGGATAAAAACTATGATGCAAGATTGCAACTTCATCATGTCAACTCTGATGAGGAATGCCACTGAAAAGTGGACTTTAGAGAGGATAATGTAAAAAAATTATAGTCCATTAAGAAGAAATTATCTTGACTTCAAACAACTCCTAAATTTTTGGGAGGGAAATCCATTCTCCTCCTACAGAGAAATAAGGATGCTTAGTTGTGGAATAAAGACCTCGGAAGAGAAACCCCTTAGTAGACAGGCTTTCGTCAAGTAGCAATAGATCCTTTACTATGGAAAG